GTGCAGTGAATTGTAATTAAAGGGTAATTATTGTTACATTAATTTTGTGTTGTTCGTTTGTGTTTGACTCTTAATATTTTTGACAGATCATGCAAATTTAACATTATCGCAAACCCTGCTTCAACAAATAGTATCACTAGATTGACAATGAAAAGTGCCTGGATTAGTATCAGTGACGTGAAGTTGGGTACAACATGTATACGGTACAGTGATAACACCGATGGAAGAGAGCAGGTCCTTCACCATTTGTTATGACATGTTATATAATAAAGCAAAACACAAACTACTGTACTCACTGTGGTTTTCAGATTCAAGCATTTATTTGCAGCATTACTAACTGTATGACTCACTGTAGTCTCTAACATCTTCTATTGAAACTACATTAGATCTGAGATCTACAGTACATACATTATATAATAAACAAACATTGGATATGAATTACTGTAGAGTACACTATTTTATAAAATTGTTATCAATAAAATAAAAAATTATACTCTCTGTAGAATACCAGTCAATTCAAGCAAATTTATCGTTGCCCTCTCCTTGTATTTGTGAGTGAAATAGAACTTTTGTTTGTTTGAAATGCAAAAATGCTCTGTGCACTATGTAAAGTTATGAAATATTTTTGGTGTAATTTTGATAATTATTCCATGTTCTTTATTCCATGTTCTTGTTCTCAATCCAACTACCAGATGGCTACTAACAAGCACTTAGGCCTATATTTTAAAACTATTGAATTGCGCACATTTCATTTTACAGTATTTGTTTTTGTCTCTTTTGTATTTAAAAAAGCCAAATACATTTGTAATTGGATAATGTTGTAATTGTATTTGTACTGTAGGCCTTTTCCCCTGGCTCCCAATCAAATCTTGAGCCTACAGTAGAGCTGCCGAATGCAAATTGTTAGCTCAAAATAGGAAATTTTTTATTTAATTCGTATATAACTCGCACAGGCTGTTGTTCGAACTGGCATCCGCTCGAATTGACTGGTTCCCCCTTTGTAAGATGTAACAACGTATTTCATGGAAAGGTCTTGTAAACATCACACTACCAGTATTGGAGATTATCATCTTGGTATCCATTACCAAATTAACACCACTCACAGTAGCAATAATAGGGCCTAATAACTTCTACCTTCTTATAATCAATAAATAACCCAGAATGTTTTGGCCTGCTACTGTAGTATGTACAGAGAGACAGGAGGAATAACAACTTTGTAGATTTGTTTTAACTTAAACTTTTTTCAAAATGTCAAACTCAAAGAGCTCAATCACCAAGCGCATACAGGCTTTTTTGCATGATGCGCTCTACAAATCCAACTATTATTATTAAAAAAACATAAAAAACCCCCCCAAAAATGACAACCATTTATAGCATTTGAAAGCAATGGTGGCATCATATTCATAGCACATAGCAGAGTATGTAGTATTACATACACACATGATATTTTTCTGTATACTGATTAAGTCCACATCAAGCACATCATCAGAGGTGAGCTGATATCATCTTTTCATCTTGAATGGTTATGTTGTCCAAACCTCAGTTACACTGTAGGTGGTCACTTGGTCAATCTGCCTTTGTTTAAATTCCACCACAGAACTAACATTTGAGGATAAAATATTACTGTGACACCCAAAGATCCCACCCAGAAATCAGTAGTTAAAACATCAGCGACTTGTGTTTCCAATTAACAATTTAGAGCAATGTCTCATCCACATATGATCATGAATTCCCCAAACCAACCATCCTAGCTCTTGAAGTCAAATACAGGTTAAGGATATATCATAGGCTGCTGCAAAAAAATTAGTAGCTCCAAGCCCCATGGCTGAAAACATCATACACAAATGCCAACATATCTCAAATAGGCCCATGAGTGTAGAGACATCCTAGACCCTATGTTGGCCTATCCAATTCCTGGTAAAGGTTCAGTGATCATTACACTTATGACATAGAGGAATCCAAACAACAAATTAAGTTTTGATGTTCTTTGTGGAATATTTTTCAAAATGTTTCTCCGAAAGTCTTTTTCAAGGGTGAATGCAATCGGTAAGGTTAAGAGTGGGAGACAGAACGCAGTTGAGTAGTTGATTGCTATTACTGCAAACATCAAGTATGGAACAAATAAAAGAAGACTGTATAAAACATAGGAACCAGTTTTTCCAAGAAGTATGGCAATTGTTACAACTTTAGCTTTCTTGTCTAGAGGCATATCTCTTGTGTTGTTACTATGCAGAATCGCCTCTGTGTTCATTGCTAATGGTATAGCATATAAAAGAGGAGCAAGTGAAAAATGGCCGACTTGAACAAGATAAGTAAAAATGACAGCAAGCGGACCGAATGATATCAAAATCACTACGTCTCCTAAAGCAAAGTATTTAAATCCAATGCCACC